TCACCGTCGCAGGTGAAGGATAAACAAATCTGTATCCATCCAGTTTTTTTTTAATATTCTTAGCTGCATGATCTCAACTCTGCCTCGTGAGTCGGCAGTTACAGATTTTGAAGGATTTACATTGCCACCAGATGACAAAGTGTTCCATCTGACAAACCCTCCTTAGGAACATTGTTAACTCTTCAATTGTATTAATGGTTTGTTCACAATTGTCTGTCTGCCAAGTTAGTAGCTAAGTAGCAGTCACACTACCTGATCTCCCCATCTCTATTGCATAGACAGTGATACCCACTGTGGCACCCCATTGCTACCCCAGCTGAACACAGTAAACTCAGTACAGACTGAGAATTAAATCTACAACCATTGTGGGTTCATTGAGCGATGCCTTTATCCCCAGGACCGCTGTTGCGCCCTTATAATAAATTAACCGTTTACACACATCCAGCAGTCCTTTGGGCCTCGGCCACCATAGGTGCCCTAGTGCCAGGGAGACATGTTCACACTCAGCTGATACTTGCAGGAGCCTCTCACAGTGTGAGCTTCTCTTAATTCTGCCCATAAAGGAGGACCATTGCTACAAATGGCAAAAAAAGGCTACTGAGGAGTCTATCCTGATGTGGGACAAGGGATCTTTAAAATGATAACTTTTTAAAAACCAAACGACGTGGGGAGATGGTCTGTAAAGATAACAGTCCATGGCTTTGACGTAGAGCTTTTATCACTTAACAAATCATCACAAAGCGTTTCCTTTTGCTGTAAAGTGTAGTAACTGTGTAATTTGTAAGTGAATGTTGTAGCCGATTTCCATTCATCAAAGTCGAACAAACAGCCAAATAAAGTAAGTGATCAATTTTATTGGGGGGGGGGGGAGGGGGGTTGTTGGCTAGGACACTGGGAGAAACTTCCTTCTCTTTTCGAATTAGTGCCATGAAATCTTTAACGTCCATTTGAACAGGAGGACGGGCCATCAGTTTAACGTCTCATCTTAAAGGACTCGCGCCATGCTATCGTGAGCACAACCAAAAAACTTATTGGGGTTAACACATAAATGTAAGAAAATTCTAACCCTGCATCTCGTTAGATTTGTTGCTCATTTGAAAATAACTGAACTGAAATGCAACAGATACACCAAGCTAGTACACTTTTCCATCTTTAACCAACAACACTGAAACAATGACGTACCCTGAACTGTGTCACATGAAACACCCAACAAGGCTAATGGGTATTGAATAGTTATAATATGAAGATGTTAACCCTTTTTTGAAATACAGGCAATACAGACTAACATAAAGAATACAGTCTTCGAAATATAAACAATGCAGACGAACGCAAGCGCCTTTAAAAAGTGTGGATTTGACATACAACAGTAAAAATAAAGATCCAAACATTTCTTTGTTATATATACAAAGTATCAAACGATCACACCAGCATTTCTAACCCTACTTGAAATTTATCTCAAACAGCAAAACTTTAGAACACAAATATATAGTCGCTTTTCAAAATACTTAAAAAATTGAAATTTTATAATACTGAAATCAGGTAGCATTAATGTATTAAAATAGATCACTTTGTTTCATAAATGGTAAACATAATTTCTCTGTCTTTAAATTAAATTATTAACTACTGTTAAAAAGAGTTTGCTTACAGGTGATCAACTCATAACATCTGCATGAAACGTGATGGCCATTTGTTATTGACTGAAACAGATTGAAACAAGGACACCTGATATTTATCCCTGTCGATGCGTCTGCAAAAGCAACACTGAACTAACTTACCTTCATTGTTCTTGGTGCTGAGAACTTGTATAAAACGCACCCTTCATCCAAGACAGTCAAAGATACAATGGGGAGGTGGCTAAACATTTTGGGCATCTGTTAGACAGCACAAGAAGCTGCAGAATTGGATTCAATTATAATGTATTTATTGCGAAGGTGCCACGACAGGCCATTACTTCAAAATAACCATCTAAGACGCGCTGACATCAACGGCGATCAAGGAGAGAATGCAGCCGAGGAACAAACAGCTTCCGTAGACGGGGATCAAGGAGTTAAAATAAAAACTACTAAAGGCAACATAAATAACTTTATGCCAGAAATGGTGAAGTGATAACAAGGGAATAGAAGGTGGCACACTCACTGGTATTATTCTGAATACTGAAAGTATCATTGGAAACTATATTTGGAAACTGCTGTAACTCAGCCCCTGACAATTCCACAGCTGTGAGTAATAATAATCCTTACATTGGACAGAGCACCTTTCACATTCAGGAGGATGTCTCAAAGCGCTTCATGGGATGTATTGTAAAGTGGAGTGACTGAATCTTGTGGGCAAATGCGGCAGCCAATTTGCGCACAGCAATGCCCTAAACTGTGAAGTCAGGAGAATAACATAAACCACTGAAATTCAACTCAAATATTAGTCATAATGACTCAAAGAAGTGTGCCTATCATGCACCTGCGTCAGTTTTAGCACTCTTGTTTTTCACGTACAAACAGTTCCTGGCATGCCAAGCTCACGATTAATGCATTTGTTCTCAGAGGCTGTTTGAAACCAAGATGTGACATTTGTGTAGGAGGGATTTTCAGCAAGTGGTGCTGTGTGCAACCATTAGCAATTCATTTGAAGGGGTGTGGGGGTGGAGAGGGGAAAAACACTCAATGTGGGCATTCATGTCAAGTCTCTGAAACATACAGTTCCAATAATTTCACTGTGGTACCATGATTGATTGATTGATTGATTGATTGATTGGTTCTGCGAGATTGCCTCAACTATCTGAACCTCTCAGCTGTTCTTCACATACATGGAAATTCACTCCAGTTTTCCTATTGCTCCAATCGTTTCTGAATAACCTGCATCCTTGCATAAGAACAGAAGTCATTGGGAACACGTAGCAGGCCAGGCAGTATCGATTGAGAGAGGAAAATGAGTTAACGTCTCTCCATAGATGCTGCCTGACCTGCTGCGTGTTCCCAACGACTTCCGGTTTTTATTTCAGATTTCCAGCATCTGCCGTATTTTGCCTTTTGTATCCTTGTATATGTTGTATTCACTTCCACTCAGCCTGGTTTAGCTAAGTCTCTGTGATTCCTAACACAGTCATTACTATCAACTTGTAGCATGACAGGAAACTTAAAAAAGATAAACCCACTTGGTTCCATAGTTTGGTGATACTGACATGACACCTACTGACATCGCATATCCATCCTCTACTTTAAGCCATGTCAAATATCTTGAGAGAAAGTTTACCCAAAAATTAAAATTTTTTGTTGTGNAAAAAATCTGTCAATTTTCCTAAAAGCATCTGACTCCTGTTCCTTTCTACTGTAATCTGGTTTATCTGTTAATAATGTCCGGTTAATAATGTCTGAGCCTTGATAGTGAGGACGGCTGCCAATTTGACTGCAGGGCACGTCTAAGCCAAACCTAAACCTGTCATTATCCAACGGCTGCTTATCTTGCAGCAGGAATGACTGGATAGTGATCAGAAACAGGAATCATAACTGTTTTTATTCCTGTCTCTAACCTGGGGGAGCCGAACCCTTACTCTACCCCAGGGAGCCTGAATTGTTGAGCCTCAGCTGTTGACCCAGTTGGGATCAGGGAATCCTACAGCGCTGAGTAGGATTCAGACGTAGTTCCACGTGTCTGGCTCATGCTCGCTGGCTTTTGCCTTCACTCACCAAGCCTGCAGAGAAGATAATAGCACCTCCTAAAGTTCTTCAAACAGGCTAGTACCAGTGAGTTGGGATATGTCTTAAACAGAACGCAGATATTCATTCAGTTTAAAAGCTAGTAAAGCAGCTTTTCCTAGGTTTAGGGTCAGTTAGGATGGCTACTTGCATGTTTGATAATCATATATCAGTGTTATCTTGTAGTAATGCAGTATAATGATAGATAACAGTTCTTGTTAAAGACAGCTGCATACTATAGCTGCAACAGTGCCGGATCAATTCAAGATTGAGGTGGATAGACTTTTGTTAGGTAAGGGTATTAAGAAATATGGAGCAAAGGGGGGTAAATGGATCAGCCCTGATTTAGTAGAATGGGGGAACAAGCTCGAGGGGCTGAATGGCCTACTCCTGTTTCTAACAGACAATACGTTGAAAAATGTGTCCTCAAAGCATATGGAAATTTAATGTTGCACCTTCACAAACTAGATGTAATAAAAGGTTATGTTATAATCTAATTACCGGATCAGGTGATTATTAATACTTTATCTGTATGTTTTGTTTTGCAGACTCATTCATCGATGCAATCCGTTTCCTACTTTGGTTTTTGTTAGTAAATGTCGGGGCAAAAGACATCAAACAATTCAACGTGTGAGATTTATGAAGCAGTTGCATTAACAATACATTGATCTCCCATCTTGCCTACCTAGAGTGACCCTGCCTACTTAGCTAACCCTTAAATCACATATTCACTGTAGAAGTATTTCCTTAGAGCTCACTAGCAGTGTACTCTAGGTAGGTGTGACAGAGTATATCAAAGGCGTGTTCAATACCTCTGTGCTGATGGCAAACACTTTGAAATGTTGCAGCCACTATCTGTGAGATTGCCACATAATGTACAATCGCAGTTGTACATTTTCAGCAAACGTGAATGTTTCTGCTAACTGTTCAGCCAATGATTGAAACAGCGTCACAGACAATGCAGAGTTGGGGCCCAAAGAGTGAGCCACTTTCTTTACAATCGCTGAAAAATGCAATAGAAGCCTACACACAGGCTTCATTTCTGACTTTTCATTCACTTGCACACATTTTGCACAGTTTCAGACATCAGCAAATTTCACGAATGGTTCCTCAAAACTGAGCTCTCTTTGCTGGAGTGAACGCCATTGTGTTTGAGAAAAATCATTACCAGTGACATTGTTGCGTTAAAGAACATTCTTGGACGTTATGTAGACCTGCAGAAGTCACCAAAATCCTATGCACCCTTAATCAAAGACTAAAAATGCTGGTTGTGTTGGTGAAGTAATTTCTGTGATCTTCATTACAACGGTAGCTGAATGACTAATCAAATGGTTCAATATGCCCTGGTTCAATGGTAAGATGATTTTGATCATAAATTAAAAGTGATGGTTGATTTATATTAATATAGTTTACTAAGACCTTGAATTTGTTCGCTCAAAACATACTGATGCTTCTAACAGTTTGATATAACTGTACTTGTTGAAATATGACCAGACCCTTGAGCAGCACAATGTCATTTCGTTAGTAAAAAGCAAAGCTTTCTTTCTGTGTGCATTAAGTCCAATGCCTTCTTCCTCCTTGATGCGCCGACTCTTCAATGAGTAAAATACCAGTTTTATAAAAGATATTGCAAATATGGTTCAAACCAGGCATCTTTCTTGCTTGTTTATTGGGCAAGCTTCGGTGCCACCATTAGACGTAGAGCCACTAGTGTTTCTGGTGGGGAAGTGTTTGTCAATGCTGTGAGCTGTAACTGGGGAAAGTTTCTGCCCGGGGAATCCTCACAGAAAACGAGTCATCTGAACAAACAGAAATAGAGAAAGGTTAATGTTCACTGGCAGAAAGAATATGTAATAACGACATTTGGGAATCTAAGCCTCTATGAAGCATCTGTAGATGGCACAGGATGTGCCCAAACCAAACCATTAGAGTTTCATACGGTTGAGGACATGCTCACATCTCTCTCCAAGGCAGAAAGGGACATTAACTTGCAACAATGCTTTGGACGACTGTAGACCCACCTGCCTTTATCAGGTCACATCGTAACCTGCTCACCTCCAATGACAAAAGGTCATAGTTGCTCAAGGCTCTCTTCATAAATGAAACCCCTCATCCTTAGTAACATCCTAGTGGATTTACTCTTCGTTTTTCTATTACTTTTACATCCTTCCTACAAAGAGAGTGCCCGATACAACAGTGCCTTAATGTTCAATATTCCCTCCTCAATTTTGTATTGCTTAAGTCAAACTCTATCAAAGCACTTTGTCTCCTGAGCCATCCATTAGTGTCCTACGGATACACAAGCCAATCCTGAACTCACTTAAACAAGTATTAGGAGTGCAGACACTGACCTTCATTTGAAGGTAACAAACGATCCGATTTTAGGCAAAAACAAATCCATCCCAGTCAGAGCTGAACTAACCAATTAAAAAAAATTCCGAGCATAACAGAAATTGATGGGAAAAGTTACAAAGTACAAATCTGTAAGAAGGACAATTCTATTTATAGCTTTGAATAATTGTCTTAGCAATGATCTCTCTGTTCTCTTTTAATGCATTTGGTGGCTAACTGCTAAAAATATTGACTCCTGTCTTTTTGTTTTCAAGGACAAGTTAACTAATCCTTGCAATTTGTCCACTGCCATCAAGCAGTGTTTCAAAGCGCTTCATGAGGTTTTACTGTGAAGTGTAGTGACTGTCTATTTGTAGATGAACAAATGACGAATTTTATCTGGAGGATTGTTGGCAGGATACTTTATGGAACTCTTCTCTCATCGAACAGTGCTTTGGGATCTTTAAAGTCCAACTAAACAGACAGTGAGGCCCTCAATTTAACGTCTAATCCAAAGGAAGGACACTCCAAAACTAGTGCTTTCCCAGCACTGCTCTGCACCTTTGTGACCTGCTAACTCCATATTGACCTGTTTGCTCCCTCCGCTCAGCGGGCTCCGACCCACTCCATGTTCCCGCTCCGCCCCACCATCAGCCACTCTGCTGCCACCCTTTGGAACTGCACCCCACAGTCCCTTCGCCTCACTCCCTCCCTTGCCTCTTTCAAGGCCCGTCTCAAGACCCTCCTCTTCGACAGCATCATCGGTCACCCTCTTAACTCTATCCTTCCTACCCTCCACTCCTCCCATCCCAACTCCCGGCTCGGGTCCAAATCCAGTGCCTTGGTGCATCTTCCCAACGTGAAAGGAGCTAAACAAATGTTGTTGTTGTTGTTGTTGTAGTGACAGCCTAGAATGTGTGCATTCAAAACCCAGAACCTCTGATTCAGGCACAAGAATGCTACTGACTAACTGAGCCAGACTGACAGGTCTGTAAAAGGAAATCAATGCACGTGCTGCCCTCTAAATAGAGATTGCAATTCACTCCAAAACAAATTATAAATAGAATTTTGCACATTTTGGATGAACTGTCTATTGGATGCCTCTAAGCCTCTTAATGTTTTAGTAAAAGTTGAAATGTAACTGGCATCGAATACAGGTTGGTAGAGTCAGTTGCCCCTCCCTGCACATAGCTCTCCTCAGGTTCTGGGGAGCGATTTTGGAAATGAAAATATTCACTAGGTTTCCTGCTGTGAATCCCTCGACAACGACGAGCTAATCAAATGACTTCCAGTGATACGAACGGAACATTTTTTTACGTTTAAATCGTGCCCTCCTTTCAAGTGGCAATAAAAAATGCAAATCTTTCAAACTCAGTAAACAGTGAATGCTATCTCCTCCGGCTGACGTCTGGAGATGTTCTGCTCTTTATAACCACTAGATGACCCCATGCGTCAGAAACCATTCGCAGTGGCTTCAGGTGTGTTGAATAGAACTCAAGATACATTTCCCCCCAAGGTTATGACATGTACGGAAATTCCATTTTGAAGGAAGCAAAGAGAAAACGCAACAACCAATGCTTGCTTGCTTTGTTGTCATGATTTACATGAAACTGGAGCTGAGAAAATCCACTTAAAGCACATTTGCTGTAACTCAGACAATCAAATCTCAAGTGCATTCACTCACTTTCTTACTGATTTTCTACACAGCATATTTGTTTTAACGTATCACTGTCATCATGCCATTGAAGAGAAATACTTCTAATGTGCTGGACTGAAACTGAAAAAATATCCAATGTCAGAGATGCTTAACTATACTTTCCTTCGCTAACAACAATAACTTGCATTTATATAGGACCCTTCATGCAGGATACTAACAGTAGTGGTCTTGGACACAGAGACATATCTAAGGCCGTGGAACTAGTTTTAACATTTAACTCTCTAATCCTGTATTTGCCTGCACAATTTCCTGTAAAGTGCTCAAAGATAGCAGGAGGTTATTTTGTTTTATTTGCATATCGCATTAGCATGTTGGCGCAAGGTTTGATTATTTTCTTTGTTTTTCTTCCACTATCAGGTTCAAAAGTCAATACATAAACAAGGATGTGGGAAACATCAGAAATGCTAGGGTATTAACAAAGGACATGTTTATGCAGAGTTCATCTTATAACTGTGCTGTCATACATATTGAGTTATGCAGTGTGAATAGAAAGCAAATGAAAAGTACTAAATGCTGGTTAAGCTAAACTCTGCAGAGACTGCGAACACGGATTCTTTTACAAATATATTGTCATATTTGTGCTTTCATTATCAGAAGGTTATGCGAGATAATTGTAGTTTCCATTGAATTTAATTGATTTGAATTTTGAATTGTGCTGTTTTGTCATTTATCTGGAATGTGCAAGAATAGCATTAGCACAGAAAAGAGACTCAAATCTCTCTCTTTATCTCATATGATTGAATTGTAAAACCCAAAATCAAACCCAACATCATTGTTATATGAGTTGACCAAATTAAGAATAATGAATGTTAAAAATACGAGCATATCGTATACATCATTGTACCCTAATAATAATCCCTCCAAAAAAACAAAACAATAATAAATTGGTCATTTTCAATCTACGATTGTTTGTGGGACATTGCTGTGCGCAATTGGCTGCCGCGTTCGCCCACAAATCTAGTCAATTCACTTTACAGTCTATTCTGTGAAGCGCTTTGAGACGTCTAGAAGACGTGGAAAGCGCTATATCAAATGCAAGATTATTATTATTATTACCCGCTTACGATATGAAAGAAGCTTCATAAATATTTAATACCATTTATTATTGATGATCGGACTGGTCAATACAACCTATTTGTTGTCTTACACAACACCAGACAAACTGGTCATTCACTTTATGGCTGTTTATGTAATTGTTGTTATGGCATTGTTGTAATAATAATAATCTTTGCATTTGATAATAGTCCCATAACACACCATTGAGGCGTCTCAAAGCACTTCACAGAATATATTATAATGTGAATTGACTGCATACTTTGTGGTTGAAGTTGGCTGCAGCATTTGCCTACAAATACATTGTCACTATACTTTGCAGTATATTCCGAGAAGCACTTTGAGACTTTTTGATGATGAGATATGTCTTTGTATATCAAATACAAGGATTATTATTGTATTATTATCATTTTACTACCACCAATTCATGTGATGGATCTTGTCTGGATGGCTATCACTTGTATAAAATCAATTCTATCTCTGGTGAAGACCAACACTGTAAATCGTATGAAATGACAATACATATTACAACACAGCTTTTGAAAACACGGAACATTTTTAATGCATATTTTAAAATCATTTCCACTATTTTCATGAATCTTTTACCTCTTCAGTTCTGTCCCCAGTAGAGGCAGAGTATGCAAGGTCTCCACTCCATAACACAGACAATCTGGGCCAGTTCTGCAAGAACGGCCTCAGTGACTTAGCAATTTCCTTTCCTGTGAAGAAGCGCTTGCCATCTGCTTGGAGCTGCTGCCCAGCAAAGGGACATTAGATACGACAGACATGCCATGTGGTGGATCATAAGCACAAACCTATATTCTACCACTGGAGCATGGCACACAGAGGAGAGACATTCTGTTCCATAATAGATCTGAGAGAATACAATCATGAGGCAAAGGAAGTTCCTCATGATTGAAAATATTAATAATAATAGTAATAATCATAATAATAATCCCTGCATTGCACATAGCACCTATAAACTTTTAAACATCTCAAAGCGCTTCACAGGCAATTTCCTTCATATGTAGCGACTGTGTATTTTGTGGGCTAACCCAGCAGCCAATTTGCGCACAGCAAGGTATCACACGCAGTCATGAAGCTAATGACCAACATATTTGGAGTACTTTTGGCCAGGTTAGTGTTAAGAGGGAAAAAACACAGCATGTGATATATTACACTCAATAAGATTATGGCATGCTGTGTTTTCCCCCTATAATTAAACTTCACTGAAAAAAAATCCCCATGAAGGAGTTATAGATCAGTACTCCACTAATAAAAAGTCCCCTGAAAAATGTAATGAAAAGCATTTTAAAAATTGTTGGGTGAATGGATTTTAGCAAGGGTAGAGGGTGTGTATCATTAGTACTGTCAGGATAACAAAGACAATATTGCATTGCACAAGTCTCACAATTCTGATCTTTGCTTACACCCACTCCAAAATTATTCCGATAGCTCAGGGCAACCAAATTTTATGTGCAAAATTCCTTTCTGGTGTATAAAAATAACACATTAACAAAACGCTTCAAGCCTATTGATTTAGATAGAAACATGTTTGCCCTTCAGGTCCACATGACACGTCAAAAATATCCCATCGTTTGAAGGAAGGGTGAGATGTGCACAGCGTAGCATCAAAATAACTACACGTGCTGATCTATAACTCCTTCATGGGGTATACTTTGTCAAAATAACTAGGGC